TAAAGGAGAGAAGTGTACACTGTATGAACTGTAATAGTAAAAGAGAGTGAGGGAGAGAAGGAGAGAGAGAGCCTAAAAGAAGTTTACTATATGTACTATGATGGTAAGAGACCAGAGAGATAGAGAGAAAGATGTATATTATGCTATAATGGAAGAGAGAGGGAGGTGAGAAAAAAAAAGAAAGGGTATAATAGTCTAATAAAGAAAGGGTTAGGTTGTATCAAAATGCTGCTTTGTTATGCATCCTGAGGCTATTTCCTTGCAGTTTGTACAATCTTAAGTTATAGCCTCATCCCGGCCTGTTTTCATTTCTACTCACTAACAAAGTACAAATCTCTTTAGCATAACATCCACAATCAAATGTTATGACAAAGCCATACCCCATCACGCGAGTCATCAATGAGACTAACTCTACTATCAATTACAGCATCTTGCATTAAGATTATACATGCACGTACATGCATAACGGCGACTTCATAAATGATATTTCTCTCATGTTGTTTATCGAATCCCTACTCTGCTCCATTCTGGCTTCCCATGCAATTAGCTTGGTGTGTCATATAGCACGTTAGCTGGATGGACCCGTTCCTCATTCCCTTGTGCAGAGAAGCTTAAAGGCGCTTTTTAAAGTTATTTGATTATTAACTCAACTATGACAGACCTGCATAATAATATATATTTATATACATGTATGTGGGTATGATTCTAGTGCATGATATGTTAGATATTATACTGTGTATTGGCTGCTCATGGAGTGTATGTATGCTATGATAAGGCCTTCCCACCATTTAACAAGTCCAATCTTATTAACCTTTCTCCATGTTTACCACACATATAGAGTCATGCTGTGTAAACACTGCTTTGTGAGAGCCACCTGGTACTGGAACACCTCCCCCACTATCCCTCATTCACCCGGCCTGCCTGTTTATACAATCATAGATAACTTAAAGATTTTTGTCTTAATTAACTTACTTGTACAGCAATTATTTATATAAGCAATTTCACCTGCTTCTATTTTGGTTGCTGTTTAATTCTTATTTGCACACGCATTTTTAAGGATTTATAAAAATAAATAATGTACTTTTTTGCATCTCTTCCCTCCCCCCATATATACATATAGATCAAGATAATCCTGATTCTTCCAGACCTCCGATGGCCATCAAAGAAGAGTCTTACATTGAGTCCGATGACCGTGGTGAGGAGGACTATGGGCCAAGTGACGAAGAGAGTGACTCAAACTCTACCACGGATAAAGACGCTGAGCCAAAGAAGCCGAAAAGAACAAGGACAGCTTACAGCAACAGCCAATTGGACCAGCTGGAGTTGATATTTGCCACCACACATTATCCTGATGTGTTTACTAGGGAAGACCTTTCTAGGAGACTTGGCATTAGAGAAGACAGGATTCAGGTACGTGTGGAGTAGAGTATTATCTAACAACCAATTTCATCAAAAATAAAAAGGAAAGGATTTTCTATTTTTTATATTTTTTCTGATGCATATACATGCACTTATGTTGCTTTGACAGTTTGAGCTGATTGCAATCAAAGTTGGATTTTTTAACGAATTTTTAAAGTTACTCTACAATCGGGTGAAAGTCCCTGTATTGGTCAAATTTTGCTAAAATTTAGAAGAAAAAATTCTCTTTTTTATTATTTTTTTTGGTATGCATTTTTGGTAGAAATTTGACTTTTCATTATAAAAATTAGCTTTGAGGTGATGACATCTTGATGTTACTAAAAGTTAAATCACAGCACAATTTTAAAGCACAAAATTTTTCTACCCCACTAATTCCTGATCTATATTTTTATTCACAGGTTTGGTTTCAGAATCGTCGTGCTAGGTTCCGAAAACAAGAGCGTACAGGAAGCATCAGCTGTAGAAGTCGCTATCGCCAAAAACGACTCGAGAAACTCCAACACAACTTCATGCCTTCCTCTGCTGGCTACCCGCCCACACACTACCCACCAAGTGTCGTGGGTGGGGGAAATACCCTAAGCCTAGTTTCATCGCCAAGTGTCTCAACCACGTCTCCAGTTTCTTATGATTTCTCACAGAGTCAAGGGTTCTCGTTTCAGACCTCGTTTTATCCTGTCACGCCAAATTATCGTTCTTATTCCACTGGGACCGCTTTTCAGTATCCAGGGGGTCTGGCGTCTCTTTTTCAAACTGCCCCCTTCGACTGCCGAGGGAAAGTAGATGGGTCATATTACATTTAGCTCTCATTACATTTTTCACTCTC